GTCACAGAATCGGGGGATGGTTTGGGTGGGAAGGGACCAAAGATCATCCAGTTCCAGCCCCAGCACCTTCCACCATCCCAGGCTGCTCCAAGCCCCGTCCAGCCTGGCCTTGGACACTTCCAGGGATCCAGGGGCAGGATTTTCTGATGGGGAAAATCCTTCCAATGATCTGATTTGCGTCAGTCCTTGATGCTCATGCAGGTGAGGGGGTGGGAGGTGGGGGTTGAGCCTTCACAGGACAGTTCAGCTGCTCTCAAACAAGGAGTTCAGGGATGTCTGGTGCTTCCCCTGTCCCCTCTGAGTGGGGTGGTGTTCCTGGAGTGCCTGATTCCTGCGCTGGGCGTTGGGCTGAGATCCCATCCGTGGTGTCCCCGCAGCACCTCGTGTCTTGAGGGACACTTTGGGTTTGGTGGGTTCTTCCTCTCCATGGTCAGAGGGGTTTTTTCACTGACCTCGCACTGAGCTGCTGGCTGGGGTTTTCCCCACCTCTAATACCTAGTGCAGCTTTCCCTGCTGCATCTCCAGCTCATCTTGCTCTGTCCCATGGAAAAACTCTCGGAAAAGACCGTTATTCCCTGCTCACCTGCAGCAGCCTGGATGTATTTAAATGTGGGAATGCAGCTCTTCCCTTCTGCTGCCCACTGAGGGCAAACATTGTGGGTTTGGGGGTCCCTCCAGCTTGATTCTAATTTATTTTTTCATTTCCCTGCTCAGTTCTTTGCATTGCATTACAATTCTCCTGTCCCTGAGAATTCCCCCATCTCATCCTCCAAAGTCACCCTTGCTCCTGAATTGTAGGTGGGGATGGGATGGGATCTCCTGAACTGTGTGCTGGGGCATTCCTGAGCACGGGAATCTGGGCTGGGTTCCTCAGGCTGGTGCCTGGGCAGGAATATCTGCAGGGCAATGGCTCAGCAGGTCATGCTGAGCACAGTCCTGCTGGTTTCCCTCAGTGAGAGCTGAGGAGATGGACACAGAGCCCTCTGAGTGAGCCGTATGTCAACAGCCAAGGGAGTCCAGTGGGAAATTCCACACTCTCTTTAGCCTTTCCCATGGTTGTGTGAGCACTGTAAGGCCTTCAGAGCTCTAACAGGGACTCAGAGACTTCAGTCTCTCCCTCCTGGCCCTGGCAGGGGTTGCAGAAGGTCAGAGCAGACACCCTTCAGCCCTGTGGTGTCCAAGGTGTGCCCACCTCGGCATCCAGTCCATTGGGAATGCCTCTCCCTGCTGCTGGCTGTGCTTCTGGACACCCTGGATCTCAGGAGCAGCACCAGCTGTGCTGCCCCTGGCTGTCCAATTCCAGGGAATTGGGATCATCAGTGCCAGTCCCTGCCCTGCTCTAACCCCTCCTCACCCTAAACCTGCTCACAGCACGTGCAGCACGGACAAGTCCCCAGCTATTGTGTCCCCCACTCCCAGTCCTTCCAGACATGGAATCCTGTCCTGCTCAGGGACACAGGACACTCTGTCTTCTCCCTGCTGTCTTAGGCTGAGTCCATCCTTATCTCCTGTTCAGTGCCTGGTGGTTTAAAGTGGCTCAGGCCATGGAATGCTGGGATGGTTTGGGTGGGAAGGGACCTTACAGCCCATCCAGCTCCAACCCCAACACCTCCCACTATCCCAGGCTGCTCCAAGCTCTGTCCACCTGGCCTTGGACACTCCCAGGGCTCCATGGCCACGGTCTGTGCTGCTCAGGGTGTGATCCATCAGCTCTGCTGTTGTCCCTCCCCAGGCAGGAGGTCTGAGCTGTCCCTGATCCCATGGGATCTCTGTTCCCTGCCTGTTCCTCGCAGCGCTCCCTCCACAGACACGCAGCTTCCCAAAGACTCGGGACTTTTGTGTCTAATGGATTTCCTGGGTTTAATACAATTGAAAGGGTCTGAAATCCACGCTTTAGATTAACATATGCCAGCTAGATTAGGGCTAATCAGGGCACAGGTCTGAGCAGATGCAGCGCGGGGCCAATCCCAGACCTGATTACGGCATCTCGGCACTCTAATCGTGTCCCTCCCAAGGGCGATCAGCTCTGCCCTAATGCCCACAGACTTCCCAGCCCTCTCCTCCTTCGGGTTCTTCCCACCCCTGGCAGGAAGGTGGCTACGTCAGAGCTGAGGAGATTTGCTTTAATCCCTGGCAGAAAGGGATCTGTGCGGCGCCGTCTCTCACGGACACTTCCCCGCTCTTCCGGGCGCTCCAAGACGTGGCCAGACCTTGGCTGAGTTCATCAGCCTTTCCAAAAAAAACCCCATCCAGTTGGGTTGGGCCTCATGGGTTCCTTCCAGCTCAGAATGTTCTGTGACCCTTCAGGTCTCCCCATCACCCATTTTTGGCAGTGCTCAGCCAAACCTTGGTTGAATTAATTCGGCCTTTCCCAAAAAAACAACCCCCTTGGGTTGGTCCTGGTGGGTCCCTTCCAGCCCAGCGGATTCCGTGATCCCTCAGGTGTCCCCATGACCCGTTTTTGGCAGCGTGGAGGGGCCATGCCTGTGTCTGTGGTCCGTGGGGCTCGTGGTGACTCTGTGTCCCTCAGGAGTTCTGTGTCCATGTGTCCCTCGGGAGCTCTGTGTCCATGTGTCCCTCAGGAGCTCTGTGTCCATGTGTCCCTCAGGAGCTCTGTGTCCCTCAGGAGCTCTGTGTCTGTGTGTCCCTCAGGAGCTCTGTGTCCCTCAGGAGCTCTGTGTCCGTGTGTCCCTCAGGAGCTCTGTGTCCATGTGTCCCTCAGGAGCTCTGTGTCCATGTGTCCCTCAGGAGCTCTGTCCGTCTCCTCCGGGTTCGCAGCCCCACGGGCTCAGTTGGTTCGTTGGTCTGGAGGGGGAATTTGAGGTGCATCCCAGGCCAAATGCCCACGTCCTGCTTAAACTGGGACGTGCTGCCTTCTCCCGAAGGCCCTGGTGGGAGATTCGCTCCAGGAGGGATGAGCCCCAGCTCTCCTTCCAGAGTTTTGTTCCCTAAAATTCTTCCTGGAAGCACCCTGGGAGCCTGGAACCTTCTCCTGAGGTCAGTGCTGGACCATCCCACCAGGAAAGCAGTTCCTTGGTTGGGCTGGGTATGGATATGATCTATGCCCCCCTCTGGCGTGGGGCAGCCCTGGGGCGTGGGGACCCCCGATGTTCCCCCGTGGAGCCAGGGGAGGTGCCAGCGGAGGAGGGTGCTGGAGGAGCAGCAGGCGCTGGGCCAGCCGGGTCACCCCCCTGGGCAGCACGATTAACTCCTCCTAAGCTTTCCTGTCTGCACACCGAGTTATCCGAGGACACTGCCCAGGCTGTGCCCCCTCAGGCACCCATCAGTGCCCTTGGCAGGGCAGGCTCTGCCCCTGCTGCACCACGAGGGGCTGTCCTGCCTTGTCGGGGGGGCCTCACTCAGGTCGTGCTGTCTGAGCAGGCACTGCCCCCCCGCTGCTGCTGCCGCCTCTGTGGTGACCCCAAAAAGCTGCTTTTTCCCCCAGCAAAGGGGCAGATGTTTTCAGGAATGCCCACATTGCCTCGCTGTTCCCAATCCCCCCAAGGCAGGGGTGGAAGGATGAAGTTTGTCCCCCCAGCCTGCAGGATTTGCCATTCCTGTGCCCTGCCTGGCTCCCTGGGGCTGTACCAGCTCCTTGCTCTTTGCTCCACCTCTTTCCATCGCTCACCTCACAGTAACCCTCGGGGGCCTCCTTGTTTTGTTGTCACCTTGGCTGGGACACAACTGGGACTTCCCTCTGTGCTCCAAAGCTTTCCCAGCTCCAGGGGCATCTCATCCCTTCCTGCAGCTGAGCCACCCTTGGGAAAAAGGTGTTTCCTGCTTTGCCAGACCCATCCATGGTCAGGGAAGGGCTGAAATGGGGGCTGGCTTTGCTTTCTCTCTGTTCTGTGCCAGACACACTATAAATGTGGGAGTGCCTGCAGCTGGTGCCAGGGGCAGGTTTGGCTCGGCCAGGGCTGGTTGGTCCCACTCTGTCCTTTCCCTGTCTCGTGTGAGGGGAGAAGGACCTGGCTGGGATGGAGGGGCAGCTGGAGGAAGGGAATCGTGCTTGGCAGTGGTTGTACAGGAGCCCACGGGCAGGACTGGTGCCTGATCCACAGGGATCCTTCCATGTGCCACCAGGGGGGAGGTGTTGGAGTGACCTGCAGAGTTGCAGGGGGTGGGAGAAGCCAAGTTTATCCCTTCCTCAAGCCCACATTTCCCAGCTCTGGGAAAATCAAGTGGAAGAAGTTTTGGAGGAGTGTTCCTTGGCTGTGGGTGTCACTGGTGGGCTTGGGGGATGTGGGAGAAACACGTGGGAGCAATCCCTGTCTGCAGGAAACTGGGCCTGACAGGGCTGGCTGTGCTGTGCCTGCTGTACCACCCCCAAACACGCCTGCTTTGGGATCCTGCTCCGAAAAGAATCTCATTTCTTTCCTCCTCACCCTTCTTGTCTCTCCCTGCAGCTGCACAGCCCCGGGGTGTGGGCTGAGCTCACGGGGTTCCCCCCAACCCCACCCCAGCCCACCCCTGCTCCCGTCCCACCTGGAAGTCACACATGGAATGAAAAGTCTCACTAAGAGATCATGGAATGGTTTGGGTGGGAAGGGACCTTAAACCTCATCCAGTGCCACCCCTGCCATGGGCAGGGACACCTTCCACTGGCCCAGGTTGCTCCAACCTGGCCTTGGACACTTCCAGGGATCCAGGGGCAGCCACAGCTTCTCTGCCCAACCTGTGCCAGGGCCTCCCCACCCTCCCAGCCAGCAATTTCTTCCCAATATCCCATCTGTCCCTGCCCTCTGGCACTGGGAAGTCATTCCCTGTGTCCTGTCCCTCCATCCCTTGTCCCCAGTCCCTCTCCAGCTCTCCTGGAGCCCCTTTAGGCCCTGCAAGGGGCTCTCAGGTCTCCCTGGATCCTTCTCTTCTCCAGGTGATCCCCCCCAGCTGTCCCAGCCTGGCTCCAGAGCAGAGGGATCCAGCCCTGGGAGCAGCTCCGGGGCCTGCTCGGGCTGCCCCTTCCCCTCCAACCCGTCCCGTGTGGGTTTGTGTCCCCGCAGGGCTCGTGCAGATCCCGGTGAGCATGTACCAGACCGTGGTGACCAGCCTGGCCCAGGGCAACGGCCCCGTGCAGGTGGCGATGGCGCCGGTGACCACGCGGATAGCGGACACGGCCGTCACCATGGACGGGCAGGCGGTGGAGGTGGTCACCCTGGACCAGTGACCTGCAGCAAGTCCCCAAGCCTCTTTACTCGACTGCAGATTTTTTTTTTACTCCTCTCCAGAGATGAAATCAGGTGGCGTTCGGAGTCTCCCAGCTTTGGAAGCATAAAAAAAAAAAAAAAACAAAAAAACAAAAAAACAACAAAAAGAAAAAACAGGTTTCGTTGACCTTTTATTTTTTTTTTTTTTTTGGTCTTTTATTTGTTTTGGTTTGTTTGTTTGTTTGGGTTTTTTTTTTTTTTAAAGGAAAAAAAAATTACTAAAAAAGAAAAACCGAGGAAGAGTCCTGAGATCCTGGCAGAGGATGCTGGTGTAAAAAAGTGCATTTTTTGTAGCGCTGCTCCGCTCCCGGAGGAGCCACATTGTAACTTTTGGCTTCAAAAGAAAACGGAAGCAAACCTTTAGCCCAGTTTTTCAAACCCCCGCCCCATCCCCGGCCGTGGGACGGAGCAGGACGAGGCCGGCGGGGAGCGAGGACAACCCTGGGCTGCCCCGGCCCCTCCCGGGCACGGCAAAGCAGGGACGGATCGCTTTTAATACGGACTTTTGTAGGACAAAAACCCCACCCAGAACGGGAAAAAAAAAAAAAAAAAAAAAAAAAAAAAGAAAGTTGGGAAAAGACTCCTCTCCTGGGAAAAAAAAAACCAAACCAAACCAAACCAAACCGCACGTGTGACTGCAGGGGGTGGCACCTCCCGAAGGGATGGACGCTCCTCCAGGAGGGCCCGGCCTGCCCCGCCCGGCTCCCCTTGGTGCACACTGGAGACCTGCCCCTACTTCTCTGCTCTGAAAGTACCTGCCATTCTGCCCCTGGGGTTTTTTCTTTGTTATTATTATTATTATTGTCGTCGTCGTCGTTGTTATTATTATTATTTTCCCGGGTTTGTGGCTCTTCATCCGGAGCGGAAGCGCCTCCGAAGGGGCTCTGGCTGCGTCCCCACCACGTCCCCAGGATTTTCCTCGCCAAAGAGCCGCCTCGGGCTCATCCCCCTCCCCACTTCCCTCATTTCCCCCTTCCCAGGACCCTCAGCCTCCCCTTCCCAGCCCTGGAGATTCCCATGGGAAAAGCTTTGCTTGAGGGTAGTGGGGGGATGTGAGCGCAGACCCTTCCCTCTGGGGTTTGGGGAACCCCCCCTTTGGGCAACCCTCCCTTTTGGGGTTTGGAGACCCCCCCCCTTTGGGGAACCTCCTTTTTGGGGACACTCCTTTGAGGAACCCTCCCTTTGGGAACCCCCTCTTTGTAGGGGACCCTCTGCACCCCAAATCCACGCCCCTAGTCCTTCCCTGTGCCTCCCCCAGCAGGGTTTTTAATCCCAAAATCCTTCCCAGGAGGGTTCAAAAAAGCCTCAAGGGGATTTCTTTTTGGAGGGGGGGTGGTGGGGTGGAATTTTACTGGACATCCCACCCCCACCCCCAGCAGTTCCCACGGGATTTAATTTGGGGGTTCTTTTTTTGGGGTGTTTTTTATTCCCATCCCCACGTGGCCGTTCAAGTTCCCCCCGTCTCGCTCTGAGGGAGTTTTCAGATTCTTGTATTTACTTGTTTTATATGGAGAAAAAAAAAAAACCACCCAAACCCCACTCCCACCCCCCCACCCCCTTTCCAGCATTCTTTGTACATAGTTCTTGGGTCCTTTTCCAGGGGAGGGAGATCTTTCCACAGGAGCAGTCCTGGTTCTCCAACTTACAGCTGATTTTGGTTTTTAATGATTATTTTTCTATGCTCGTGGTGCAGATGTCGGTGGCTTTTCAAGTCCGTGTTTTCTTTGGCGATTAAATGAGGTTCTTTTAGTCCCAGAGGTTCCCCCCCCCCCGCCCTCCCCCCCAAAAAAAAACCAGACGAAACCCAGGAAAATAGCAGAGCATGGACCCCCTCCTTGTTTTCCCAGTGTCTATTATTGCCTCATTCAATAAATTGTTACAAATGTGTCTATTCGTGTGTCCAGCCCTCCTGTTTGGGGGATTTAGGGGATGTTGAGCCGCCCCTCCCTGTCCAGGGGGTGCTCTGGGCTTTAATCCTTCCCGTGTGCAAGTTCCCTCCTTCCTTTCCCTCTTCCCGCGTCAACCTGGGCCGGATGGAAACCTCGGGAATGCTGGAGCATCCCCACCCCACCACCACCCCCTGCTCCCCCCCGGGGGCTGAGCTG